ACACACACACACACACACACACACACACACACACACACACACAAACACACACACATGAACAGAACAAATGAGATGTTTGTTGTTGTTACAAATGACAAATGTCCAAACTCCAAGGGATGTCCACATAACATTGACACGCTGTAAAGTTTGAAAGACACATTGCCGTTGAAATGATTTAGTTAATTATTCACTTGTTGTGGATCACAAATACAGGTTCTGTTGTTCTTTATTCATGGGAAATAATTATTAATAGTGCAGCCTGGAAATGATACTCTTAGTTTTAGATTTCGTAAGAGTTTTACAGCACTTGCAACACGATAAGGTCATAATAAGCGCCAAAAATCGATGTGTTACAAGAACGTAACATACACAAAAAAAGGAAGAAAGAGATGAGACGATAGACAGATGTTTAATAGGAAAGAAGGAGCCAACCATACCAGAGCACCCGCCAACCACCCACGACATGATACTCTGGTTTTGATGTCCCATGCGAGAAGTATGAAACAGTCTCAAACCTGCCATTTCGTTTTCGTTGTTTGACAGTGAGGCTTATCAGAAATTACATGCGTATAAATTGTCTTTATGTCTTTGTGTTTTGACAGGGAGGCTTATCAGTATTCAGATGTGTATAAATATAGACTTAATGTTTTTGTATTTTGACAATAAAGCTAATCAAAAACTATCATATGTTATTATTATTATGTTTTTGTGTTTTGAAAATGAAGCTTATCAGAAACTGTAATTGTGTCATTGGTTTCCTTGATATGCTCCAAAGGAGACACGTCGTTAGTCCGTTTGGAATCAAGAAGAGAGACGACAGCAGACGACAGAACATGATTAGAGAGGAAGAAAGCTGGTGAAAGGGGAAAATTGTTTTTCAGAAAAGAGAATTTTCCGTCGCTATCAGGATCCGAACCCGGGAACTACCGAATGAGAGACGAACACCATAACCTTTAGAATAGACCACGAGAGCCCCCTGCACTTGGTTTATTAAAAGGAGAAATGGTATAGGTTTGACGCCTCTATCAACACTGTTTGGTTATTTAAGAGGCGGGGCCTCTGAATTTAACGTCCATCTCCGATAGGACCGAGCCAAGTGGGAAATTCGTGTAAAGTGCCTTTCCCAAGGACACAACGTCGGACCGAGCTCAGGCTCGAACCCCCAAACCCGCAATCTCACGATTACTAGTCCGGTAGCCTAACCACTAGACTGCCGATGCTACAATCTAACGATTACTAGTCCGGTAGCCTAACCACTAGACCACCGATGCCACAATCTCACGATTACGAGTCCGGTAGCCTAACCACTAGACTACCGACGCCACAATCTCACGATTACGAGTCCGGTAGCCTAACCACTAGACTACCGATGCCACAATCTCACGATTACGAGTCCGGTAGCCTAACCACTAGCAAAGATAGTACATAACAAGATGGGCCACTCAGCCCAAAAAGTGTCCGCAGGAAGTTCGCTCTTTGCTTCAGATGGCGCTGCGTCTGTTTTGAAGCTCTCTTTCGTTTTTCCAGAAGAAGAATAGGAATAGCACCTCCTTGCGTGCGCAGATCGACTGCTGTTCATCAGCACTTCAGGTTCGTTCAGTGTGGAGTTTTAGTTTTAGTTTTTTATTTTTATTTCAATGACCTCCGCCCTTTATTCTGAAGTCAAATTAAACGAAGAAAACAATCACCCTTTCCCCCGGAAGAGTTTTATTTTTGTCAGCGTAACCATTTAAAAAATGCGTTCTTCCGAAATTCATTCAAAAACTTGGTAATTTCACTTTGATTTTTTAAACTCAAGTAGGGTAACTCTGTTCGCAAAGGGTGCGCTTTTGCGAAGAGGGTGCCACCGAATTTTGAGGACACTTTTTTAATTGGCTCAAAGAGAGAAGTGGCCCCTCTTGTTATGCAGACTCTTTGTCACTAGACTACCGACGCCACAATCTCACGATTACGAGTCCGGTAGCCGAACCACTAGACTACCGACGCCACTACTTTGTTTATCAAAACACGAAACTTTAGTTTAGGCCAAAATGAAAAATATACAGACCTAATTTGCTGGTTTAACCATTACTTTACAACTCTAGCGTGCATTCATTCATAACAGTGTTTCAAGTAATAACAGAGACAGTAAAACCCCCCCACCCCAAAAAAACAAACAACAACAACAACACAACAACAAACAAACAAACAAATAAACGAGCATACAAACAAACGAGTGAACAAACAAGTAAACAAACAAACAAACAAACAAACAAACTAACTAAAAGCCCATTGTTACATGGTACACTATATTTATTCAAACAGAAAAATTTATTACATGTTACAGTAACTTTATATATACATCAAAACAGGAAATGTTACTACATGTTAGATTAACTTTATACATCCAAGCAGAAACATTAATTGAGTGAGATTAACTTTATACATCAAAACAGGAAATTTTATCACATGTTAGATTAACTTTATACCTCCAAACAGGAAAATCAATTGAGTTAGATTAACTTTATACATTGAAACAGAAACAATTTATTACATGCTACATTAACTTTATATATCAAAACATGACAGTTTGATTATGTCATCTTTAACTTATACATTGAATTTTAATGAGAGTAACATAGAACTTAAATTCTATACATTTTATGTAGCGTATAAGCTGCAAGTGTTTTTACCATTTTCTGTACAACCAAGAAAAATTTCCCTCTGGGACAGTAAGTATTATCTTATCTTATATTATCTAATCTTATCTTATAATTACGTACATCCAAAAAGGGAAGTTTATTTCGTGTAAGATATAATTTACCAAATATCAACACAGGAAGCTTTATACTTTATTACATGCACCCTTTTTCAAGTGGATCATGAAACACGTTTTTTTTTTTTTTTTAGAGAAGGTGACACTTCTTCTACAAAAGTTTAACTTTGGCTCTGACAGTTAACTCGCTACCTCAGAATTACCAAGTTTTATTTGACATTTTTGACCGTTTTGAGTTACTAAGACCATGAGGTCAGAAACTAGTTAATGTTCTATCTGCTCTATCCAAATGGTAAGATTATTCAGAGTCGTGATCAAGATATTCAAAGAATTGCATTCGAAAAGGCTTGATATGTTGTGAAACTCGAAATTCTTAATTAACGTAAAATTTCTCAAACTAGGTACTGAGCAGTTAGAACTTTGGAATTCTAGGGCAGCAAAGTGACAAGAAATTACATGAAGTCCTTGATATCACAATTCTGTCACACTCATTTGTTTTAGTAGAGGTTTTACAGCGCTCGCAACTGCATAAGGTCATATGAGCGCCATTCACCCTCATTAAATAAATTTAACATTCCAGGGCAAATCCACATTCGCAAGAACACACATGATGGCAAAACAAAATTAAAGTAAGACACAGACAAACAAGAAGACATAAAAGCTGAATTGAGCAATGACACAAGACAGACAGAAACAAATTACTGTCGACTAAGGACGAGTTGATAGCGTCGGGGGAGTGAAAAAAAAATCAACTCATCCGAAGTTCAACTTAACCGTTGGGACCTGCAAAGAAGAAGAGATGCTGGGACCCGAGAGAAAGACCAGCTTCACCGAAGATCAACTCAAGCGAGAGTTTAAAACATGAGGAGTCGACTGTATACGTTTTGAAGATGAGATGTATTTCTAGAGAGTGACCTACGTAGAAAAAAAAGGAGGTGAGATAAGGACATTAGTAAATGTTTGACAGGAAAGTAGAAGCAAGCCACACCAGAACATCCATGCCTGGCAGTATAAGCGAAAACATTTTTTAGATTGGGGGTTGTTCAAATATAATCGTACATCTTTTTTGGGACTTT